AAATCACATTCGGAAAGTTTTTCTGTTACATTGCCGCAGCAACTGGTTTGAGCTGATCCACACAACAACGCAACGCGTGACGCTTGGTAGTGCGGTCGCTGGCCAGAAACCATGCAATGATTGGCCAGTACGAAGGAGGACATTGTTTCATGATCTAGGAGATTATATTAGCACCAAATCTTCACACATTCATGCATTTCAAACATTTACATTGTCACAGAAACTCGAGTGAAGCTCATCCGCACAGCTAGGCAGCAAGTGACGCTTCTCTGAGCTTTCGATGGCTATAACTTGTGCATGGATAGGTCTGGGCGCACCATGTCACGATTTCATTGGGTATCTGCTTGTTTTTTTACTCACACTCTTTCACTCACCCATTCTATTCAAGAAATAACCTTGTCTTAGGAACTCGTCCGAGGTCATTTGCACAAATACGCAACAAATGACGCTCCTGTGTGCGTCTGACGACTGAAACAGTTCGAGGATAGGCCAGGGCGCAACATGTGACCGCTTCATTGTCTCGCGGATTTTTTTTGCAACAATTCTACAAGAAAATAGGTACTGAATACAAGTACCTTGCCGTAGGAACTCGGTTTGAGTTTAGTCTCAAAAGTACGCGACACGCGACGCTTCATTGTGCGTTCGATGGTCTGAACCTGGGCGAGGATAGGTCGGGGCGTTATGTGTCATCGTTCCATCATCTATATGTTTTTTTAGCACCATTCAAAACTCGTGTAGGTACTCCAGTTAGTTAGCTTACCAAAGGAACTCGTTTGAGATCTGTCGCACGAGTACGCAGCCCGTGAGCCTTCGTTGTGCGTTTGATGGTCTGACCATGTGCGATGATAGGCCAGGGCGCAACATCTCACCGGACCAACGTCTTGCTGTTTCACATAGCAACAATTACACACTCATTCAGGTACTCTAGTCAATTACCTTGCTGTACAAACTTGTTTGAGTTCATTCGCACAAGTACGCAGCACGTGGCGCTTCTTTGTGCGTTCGATGGCCTACAACTTTGCTAGGGCATGCCAGGCCGCACCATGCCACTGTTTTATCGTCTCGCGAATATCCCAAGCACCAATTCTACACTCATTTAGGACATGTAGTCAATTACATTGCCATAGGACTACTGTTTGAGATCTTTCAAGCAAGTACGCAACACGTGACGCGTCAATCTGCGCTTGAAGGTCTGAACCTGGCGACGATAGGTCAGGTGTTTGCTGCTGCGTCCTGGTCGGGTCCTGAGTCTGCCCCCTGTTCCTGTCGCCTCCTGTCTCACGAGACTCTCCTGTGGCACCACCGTCTTGGCCACCCATCCTTGCTCCGTCTTCGGAGCATGGCTTCCCGTGTCCTTGTCTCTGGTCTTCCCCAGTCTCTCCCTCCTCTCCCCTCCGGGCCAGGACCTTCCTGTGTCCCCTGTGTCGAGGGTCGCCTCCGGGCTACTCCTCACTCCTCCCACTTCCCCCCGACAGAGGCTCCCCTGCAGACGCTTCACATGGATGTGAGGGGCCCAGCCCCCGTCCGTGGGCAGGGTTACGAGCGCTACTTCCTGTTGGTGGTTGACGACTACTCGCGTTACACCACAGTCCTCCCCTTGCGCAGCAAGGGTGCTGTCACTGAGGTGCTGATCGACTGGATCCGCGAGGCTCGTCTCCAGCTCAGGAAGAGCTTCGGCTCTGACTTTCCTGTTTTGCGTCTGCACTCGGACAGAGGCGGAGAGTTCTCCTCGCGCCTTCTGCGAGACTACTGTCGTGCACGGGGGATCCGCCAGACCTTCACGCTTCCGGACTCACCACAGCAAAATGGGATTGCTGAGCGCCGCATTGGCATGGTCATGGATGTCGCTCGTACGTCCATGATGCATGCGGCTGCCCCCCATTTTCGGTGGCCGTTTGCGGTGAGGTACGCGGCGCATCAGATCAACCTCCACCCCAGGGTCTCCAGGCCGGAGACCTCCCCAGCCCTGCTGTGGACGGGGAAGGTTGGCGATGCGTCGGCGTTTCGGGTCTGGGGATCTCGGGCGTTTGTCCGCGACTTGTCTGCGGACATGCTGTCCCCTCGTGCTGCTCCCTGTGTCTTCCTTGGCTTCCCCACTGACGCCCCAGGGTGGCAGTTTTACCACCCCTCCTCTCGTCGTGTTCTGTCCTCCCAGGACGTCACGTTCGACGAGTCAGTCCCCTTCTACCGTCTCTTCCCCTACCGCACTCCTTCCCTCCCCCCTCCCCCGGACTTCCTTGTGCCGGTTCCCCCCCCGGTAGACCCCCTTCCCCCTCAGGTTCCTGCTCCCTCAGGTGTGTCCCACGTAGACGCCGTTGACCCGGTCTAGGTTACTGGTGACTCTGGTGCTGCTGCGGGTGCTGGGCCTGGGGGTGCTGACTCTGGGGGTGCTGTGCGCGGGGGTGCTGAGCCTGGGGGTGCTACTACTGGGGGTGCTGGGCCTGGGGGTGCTGCTGCGGAGGGTACGGAGCCTGGGGGTGCTGAGCCGGGGGGTGCTGTGCCTGGAGGTGCTGGGTCTGGGGGTGCTGGGTCGGGAGCCGCTGAGCTTGGGGGTGCTGACCTGGGAGCTGCTGAGCCTGGGGGTGCTGCGTCTGGAGCTGCTGAGCCTGGGGTTTCTCCTGCTGCTGCGTCTCGCCGGGAGCCCCTCTCTCCACAGGAGCTGCGCGAGTGGTTCGCTCGCCGCTGGAGGCGTGCTGCTGAGTCTGGAGGTGTTGCTGGAGCTGGAGCTGGAGCTTCTTCGACCGTCGAGGGTGCGGGTGCTGCTGGTCCCGGAGCTGCTGGACCTGCTGGTCCTCCTGGAGCTGGAGCTGCTGAGGGCGTTGGTGCTGAGCCTCCTGCTGTTGGTCCTGCCGCTGGAGGTGTGGGTGGCGCTGGTGCTGTCGCTGAGGGTGCTGGTGCTGTCCCTGCTGGGTCTGGAGCTGCCGCGCGGCCTCGGCCGTACTTCGTTCCGCTCATGCAGCAGGTTCTTGGTCTTTCTCCTCCAGTAGAGGGTCCACCGCCTGTCCAGTCGCAGTCCCTGCTGGAGCCTTCCTCTCCACTGCCTGCTCCCTCTCCTTACACTGGTCCTACTGGAGGTCTTGCTGAGCGTCGTGAGCCTGCGTATCGTCCCGCGTCGCCTGTTCGTGCTGCTCGCGCTAGTGGTCGCAGTTCGCGTCAGCGTCCTCCTCCTGTCCGTGGCACGCACCGGATGTCTTTGCGTCCGTCCACTGCTCCTCTGCATGCCCCTTTGCCTACTCCTCCTGAGTCCTCTCTTCCTGCGCTTGCCGACCCTGAGTCGGACTCTCTTCGTGCTGCCAGTCCTACTGTCACGCGTCTGCTTGCTACTGTCCTCACTGACCCCTCTTTTGAGTCCACTGCTGCGTCTGCTCTAGTCGCTGAGCTCGTCGACTTTGCTGCTCGCTGTCGTCTCGACTACGCTGCTAGTCTTGTTGCTGAGTCTGCGTCTGTCTGTCCTCCGTCCGTCGGGGGTGAGTGTGCTCTTGGCACGGACGTCCTAGAGGACAGGCAGGAGGAGTTACAAGGTCTAGCGGCTGCTTCACCTCATCTCGCGTCTGTACTGCTTGCCCCTGAGGGAGACCCGGATGCACTAGACATCCCGACTCCGCGCTCTTACGCGGAGGCCGTAGAGGGTCCCTACTCCTCTCAGTGGCAAGCAGCTATGGATGCAGAGATGGCTTCCTAGAAGTCCACAGGCACCTACGTTGACGCGGTTCCCCCTCCTGGGGCGAACATCGTCAGTGGCATGTGGATCTTCAGGGTGAAGCGGCCGCCGGGCTCTCCACCTGTCTTCAAGGCACGGTACGTTGCGCGTGGCTTCAGTCAGCGGCAGGGAGTTGACTACTTTCAGACCTTCTCTCCCACCTTCGTTTGTCCATAATTATACACACGCACCCAGTATTTCACACTCATTTAGCCTGGATTGGGCAACCGCGGAGTTCCGGCTAAGGCAGATGTGTATTTGGCCTGTGTGTCAAGGAGAAGAATCTTGTACGGGATAAATACATTGGTTTCTGTACCAAATATCAAATAGCCAATGTGGTTGCATTTTTGGTAACCAATTTGCATTTGTGGTTATTCTCGATACAGCAATATGCTCAGATCTGGAGTCGCGATGTTGTTTGTTCCCGCCAGAACCCGTTTCTCCTTCGAAATCAGTTCATCACCTCATCTCGAAGCCACCCATGGATCTGCTCTGTGTCGGTTGAAGTCTGTTCCTTACCTCAGCTGCCTAGCTCTTCGAATCCCATCGTGTAACTCCACTGTGTCCTTTGGTTTTCGTTCCCTCTCTCACCACTTAACGCTCCTGAGCTCTGCGGACACGCGTTTCGCATCGATCCCGGACTGCCGCCATAATCTGGCGGCGGTTATCGCGCCGCGTCGGCTTGCTTCGTTTTCGCGCTGTGGTACCCCCCTAGCCGACCGCCTCACCATTGCGCGGGTGCGCGGTGCGACGCCGCGCTCGCCCTCCCGATCCACCGCCTTCGAAAATCAGGTGCGACGCTTGTTTTAAGAGACGTAGCGTCGGCACCTCGAGTAATGAGGTGCCCTCATGGCTTTACTGGCGCTACATGCGTTGCGATTAGAAACTGTGCATCAGAGCTTGCGAAACCGCTGCATATGTTTCATACGCCCGCACAGGGGTACCCAGGTGCGTTGCTTTGTTTACGGACATCCTAACGTTCTAAAAGATACGGGTAAGTTGAGGCGCTTTCCTACATACAAGGGGAATGTGAATGCGGTAGACGCCAAGAAGGTCCGGCAGATGAAACCGGAGGGTGCCTTTTCAGCTGCATCCCGTTTCTCGATCTCGCCGCGCCGCGGATTCGCCGTTAGCCATTTGTGCAACCACTGTTCGCTCTATGTAAGAGCACTCCCTTGCCCTCTGTTCTCCCTCTTCCCTGTTTCGCAATACGCTATTTCCCGTGCACACGATCGGATCTCTCCCGTGCTCGCAGTCTACTCTCTCTCGTGCTCCCGATCCGCTCTCTCCCGGCCTTGCAATGCGCTTTCTCCCGTGTTCTCGATGCAATCTCTCCCGTGCTCTCCACCCGTTTTCTCCCGTGCGCGCAATCCGCGCTCTCCCTTGCTCTCGATCCGCTCTCTCACGTGCTAGCAATCCTCTCTCCCGTGCTCTCGGATTTATCCCTCCCGTGCTCGCAATGTGATCTCTCTCGTGGCATGGCAGTACGCTCCCTCCCATGCTCTCAGTCCGATATCTCCCGTGCCTGCAATCCGCTCTTTCCCCCTCCCTGCAATACGTTCTCTCCCGTGCTTGCAATACGCTCCCTAGAACAGCGAAGACGGTCCAGCAGTGAGCCGGTTGCCTTTCAAGCTGCACCGCGCTGCTCGCTCTCGCCGCGCCGCGTATTCGCCGTTCGCCATTTGTGCAACCACTGTTCGCTCCCTGTAAGAGCACTCCCTTGCTCTTGGTTCTCTCTGTTCCGGCCTTGCAATGCGCTTTCTCCCGTGTTCTCGATGCAATCTCTCCCGTGCTCTCCACCCGTTTTCTCCCGTGCGCGCAATCCGCGCTCTCCCTTGCTCTCGATCCGCTCTCTCACGTGCTAGCAATCCTCTCTCCCGTGCTCTCGGATTTATCCCTCCCATGCTCGCAATGTGATCTCTCTCGTGGCATGGCAGTACGCTCCCTCCCATGCTCTCAGTCCGATATCTCCCGTGCCTGCAATCCGCTCTTTCCCCCTCCCTGCAATACGTTCTCTCCCGTGCTTGCAATACGCTCCCTAGAACAGCGAAGACGGTCCAGCAGTGAGCAGGTTGCCTTTCAAGCTGCACCCCGCTGCTCGCTCTCGCCGCGCCGCGGATTCGCCGTTCGCCATTTGTGCAACCACTGTTCGCTCCCTGTAAGAGCACTCCCTTGCTCTCGGTTCTCTCTGTTCCGGCCTTGCAACGCGCTTTCTCCCGTGTTCTCGATGCAATCTCTCCCGTGCTCTCGAACCGTTTTCTCCCGTGCGCACAATCCGCGCTCTCCCTTGCTCTCGATCCGCTCTCTCACGTGCTAGCAATCCTCTCTCCCGTGCTCTCGGATTTATCCCTCCCGTGCTCGCAGTGTGATCTCTCTCGTGGCATGGCAGTACGCTCCCTCCCATGCTCTCAGTCCGATATCTCCCGTGCCTGCAATCCGCTCTTTCCCCCTCCCTGCAATACGTTCTCTCCCGTGCTTGCAATACGCTCCCTAGAACAGCGAAGACGGTCCAGCAGTGAGCAGGTTGCCTTTCAAGCTGCACCCCGCTGCTCGCTCTCGCCGCGCCGCGGATTCGCCGTTCGCCATTTGTGCAACCACTGTTCGCTCCCTGTAAGAGCACTCCCTTGCTCTCGGTTCTCTCTGTTCCGGCCTTGCAACGCGCTTTCTCCCGTGTTCTCGATGCAATCTCTCCCGTGCTCTCGAACCGTTTTCTCCCGTGCGCACAATCCGCGCTCTCCCTTGCTCTCGATCCGCTCTCTCACGTGCTAGCAATCCTCTCTCCCGTGCTCTCGGATTTATCCCTCCCGTGCTCGCAATGTGATCTCTCTCGTGGCATGGCAGTACGCTCCCTCCCATGCTCTCAGTCCGATATCTCCCGTGCCTGCAATCCGCTCTTTCCCCCTCCCTGCAATACGTTCTCTCCCGTGCTTGCAATACGCTCCCTAGAACAGCGAAGACGGTCCAGCAGTGAGCAGGTTGCCTTTCAAGCTGCACCCCGCTGCTCGCTCTCGCCGTGCCGCGGATTCGCCGTTCGCCATTTGTGCAACCACTGTTCGCTCCCTGTAAGAGCACTCCCTTGCTCTCGGTTCTCTCTGTTCCGGCCTTGCAACGCGCTTTCTCCCGTGTTCTCGATGCAATCTCTCCCGTGCTCTCGAACCGTTTTCTCCCGTGCGCGCAATCCGCGCTCTCCCTTGCTCTCGATCCGCTCTCTCACGTGCTAGCAATCCTCTCTCCCGTGCTCTCGGATTTATCCCTCCCGTGCTCGCAATGTGATCTCTCTCGTGGCATGGCAGTACGCTCCCTCCCATGCTCTCAGTCCGATATCTCCCGTGCCTGCAATCCGCTCTTTCCCCCTCCCTGCAATACGTTCTCTCCCGTGCTTGCAATACGCTCCCTAGAACAGCGAAGACGGTCCAGCAGTGAGCAGGTTGCCTTTCAAGCTGCACCCCGCTGCTCGCTCTCGCCGCGCCGCGGATTCGCCGTTCGCCATTTGTGCAACCACTGTTCGCTCCCTGTAAGAGCACTCCCTTGCTCTCGGTTCTCTCTGTTCCGGCCTTGCAACGCGCTTTCTCCCATGTTCTCGATGCAATCTCTCCCGTGCTCTCGAACCGTTTTCTCCCGTGCGCACAATCCGCGCTCTCCCTTGCTCTCGATCCGCTCTCTCACGTGCTAGCAATCCTCTCTCCCGTGCTCTCGGATTTATCCCTCCCATGCTCGCAATGTGATCTCTCTCGTGGCATGGCAGTACGCTCCCTCCCATGCTCTCAGTCCGATATCTCCCGTGCCTGCAATCCGCTCTTTCCCCCTCCCTGCAATACGTTCTCTCCCGTGCTTGCAATACGCTCCCTAGAACAGCGAAGACGGTCCAGCAGTGAGCAGGTTGCCTTTCAAGCTGCACCCCGCTGCTCGCTCTCGCCGCGCCGCGGATTCGCCGTTCGCCATTTGTGCAACCACTGTTCGCTCCCTGTAAGAGCACTCCCTTGCTCTCGGTTCTCTCTGTTCCGGCCTTGCAACGCGCTTTCTCCCGTGTTCTCGATGCAATCTCTCCCGTGCTCTCGAACCGTTTTCTCCCGTGCGCGCAATCCGCGCTATCCCTTGCTCTCGATCCGCTCTCTCACGTGCTAGCAATCCTCTCTCCCGTGCTCTCGGATTTATCCCTCCCGTGCTCGCAATGTGATCTCTCTCGTGGCATGGCAGTACGCTCCCTCCCATGCTCTCAGTCCGATCACTCTATGTGTATCTTCCCCAGCAGGATTCCATCGTCACACGGCAGGCCAGCTAAGAAGACTTCACAAGTTGTAAGGCATCTACCATGGACCGACACCTTACACACAAAATCAATGTTGTATATGTTCCACGCAATGGCCGACACCACGCGTTTTTCATGTTCGTGGCGGATGATCCAATTCGAAGCCGGCCTGCAGCAACCTGTACCGCCCGTGCATCCAACTATAATGGGTGGTGGCAGGATGCGCTGAATCCGGACCCATTGCACACTCAAGAGTTGGGCGTGTTTGATGATGAACTTGATGGTTTCAAGGAGTTGTTTGACCAGTGAATGAACTCGTTGTCTTCTTGTACCGTATGCATGACTGGTACTGTCAAAGTTGAATAAGATGCGTTATTTGTAAATTTGCCCACTCCAATCCTTAGACACACCATCTTATCCTTAGCTGTGTATCATCTCCAATCTGTTGTGTGTCACCTCCTCACGTTTTCCGTCCTCTCCCCTGCTCTACCCCTTCCTCTCCTTATCTGGCCCTTACTCTCCTTCTCTGCCCCCTCCTCTCTTTCTCTACCCCATCCTCTCCTTCGCTGCCCCTTCCTCTCATTCTCTCCCCCTTCTGCTCCTCCTGATCCTTCCTCTCCTTCTCTGTCCCTTCCCCTACTTATACCGGTACGCCCCACACTCTCATTCTCTGGCCCATCCTCTCCTGCTCTGCTCCTCCCTCTCCTGCTCTGCCCCGTCATCACGTTATCTCTCCCCTTTATAGCTTCTATGCCCCATCCACTCTCCTCTGTCCCGTCATCTACTTCTCCTACCCTTCTTCTGCTCCTCTGTCCTTTTCTCTCCTTCCCTACCCCTTCCTCTCATTCGCTGCCCCTTCCACTCCTACTCTGCCCCCTACACTCCTTCTCCTCCCCCTCCTCTTCTCCTCTGTCCCCCCCGCCCATACTCGTACACTTATTTCCTTTACTCGTCCTCTTGGTTCCTATTATGTTTTTCAACGCACCCATCATGCAGTGGCGCTAATGGTTACCTGTCAAATATGCGGAAGGGAATGCAAGACACGGCAAGCACTGCTGGGTCACATGACCAACCCGGTTTGCGAGGCAACTGCCGCAGCTCGCAGTGCCATACGACGGTCCCCCGAAGCGCGTGGGTCCAAGCGTGCACGCCCTACATCCGTTCCATCATTGTCTTTGGGTGGTGGTGCTAGCGATGGCACCGGCATGCATGGTAGCGGACAAGAAGGCCCATCTGGGGGTTTAGGCCCTATGGACAACCATGAAGAGCCTGACGGAGCAGCTGTGGGAAGCATGGTCCCACCCGGATTTGATACTGATGGGGCTAGTGATAGTAGCAGTCACAGCAGTGAAAATGATAGCTTACCATGTGATGATGATAACTTTGGGATAGTGGCTGAGGAGGGGAGGCAAGAGGACGACGTTCACAGTTCATTTGAAGCTCCTCGTAGGAACACTCTAGACGCTTGGGCACATTTTTTGCTTACCTGCCGGTTGTCCAATAGCCAGATCAATGCCCTATTTGATCTCATGCATGACGAGGACTTGGACATCCGCGACGTCCTCCGATGGAAGAATGTGAAGGATGTACATGCCTATGCAGAGTCCAAAAGACCGGATTCGCACCGTGGGTGGCAACGGCGGTTGGTTCGGTCCCAAGACAAGGCATGGCTGGAGTATTGGGCGTGCGATGGATTAATAGCTCTCCAAGATCTACTAGCCCACCCCCAATTAGCCTCTCGGATGTGCATGTTTAGTTCACCGCAATATGATGGCGAGAAGCGGGTGTACTCCACGCCGGAGACCGGGAAGTGGTGGGAAAAGTTGCAGGCGGAGGTTCGTAAGGTGGACCCGGAGGGCGTGGTGGCTGCTTTGATACTTGCGAGTGACGAAACACACATGGACCATCGTGGCAAGGCCAAGGGCCATCCGGTGTACCTAACACTTGGAAACATCGACAAGGATGATCGATGGAAACCGTCTGGACACGTCCTCCTTGCACTTCTCCCTGAGTACCCGCCAGAGTACTCGTCTCTTGACAGAACGGATGTCTTCCATTACGTCATGAACGATGTAATGGCGGGCCTCAAGAGAGCATCGCACACGGGGGTTAAGATGAAGAATGCAAAGGGCGAGACTATCCATGTGTGGCCGTCAGTGTACGCCCACATCACGGATTACCCGGAGTCTTGCAAGGTTACATGCACGAAATCTCTCGGCACCACATATCCGTGCTCCTTGTGCAAGGTACATAAGGACGAGCTCAAGCGGTTTGAGTTCCGGATTAGGCCTAGAACTCCCTCCGAGCAAAACCGTGTCGTGCAAGGGATGAAGCGTGGCACCATTGACCCCGAAACTAACGAGGCTCTCTCCACACACCCCGTTAAGGTATGGTTTCGTATATACCCGTCTATTCGTTTCGTGCTCAACGCGTTATTCCGCATCCATGCACCTACTAATTGTCCTTATACGTATGTGGTGCGTATTTGTGCCCATGCAGAGTTACCTATGGGGTTGGAGGTGGGAACACGAGCCGATGTTGAACCCGTGCCTTGCCGTGATGCCCGATATAATGCACCAAGCGGACTTGGGCATTCTTGAGCACATCATCGCTTCGATTCGCCACTATGTGCTAAAAAAAAAGAAGAAACCATCGTGGTTGAAGGAGTTTGATAAGCGGTTGAAGTACGTGAAGAGCATGCTACGGGGGGGGAACATGAGGCTACCATCGGGAGAGTACTTCGTGAAGGGTGCGAACTACCAAGCGTACGAGCACCGTTCCGTCATGCAAGTGCTACCCTTCTTGGTGCGAGGGATTTTGCCACAAAATCAATTGGACGCCATCATCGCCTACATCGAATGGTACCTCGATTGCGCAAGGACGAGTGAGCACACAGAAGTGACACTCCTGGACCTGAAGAACAAGGCCAACGTGTATGCCACCTACCCCCTCTCTGGCCCCTCCTAGCATTCTCTGCCCTATCACCCCGTCTCTGCCCCCACACCATGGTCTCTGCCCCGTCATCACGTCTCTGCCCCATCCCTACCTTCCATGCCCCATCGTCCCTTCTATGGCCCTCGTGTATTTTTCTGCCCCACACTCGCATTCTCTGGCCATCCATCCCATTCCCCGCCCCATCACCCATTCTCTGCACCTAAACCATGGTCTCTGCCCCATCGTCATGTCTCTGCCCCACGACTACCTTCCATGCCCCATCGTCCCTTCTCTGTCCTCTCGTGTATTTTTCAGCCACACCATCGCATTCTCTGGCCATCCATCCCATTCCCCGCCCCGACACCCATTCTCTGCCACCTAAACCATGGTCTCTGCCCCATCGTCATGTCTCTGCCCCACGACTACCTTCCATGCCCCATCGTCCCTTCTCTGTCCTCTCGTGTATTTTTCAGCCACACCATCGCATTCTCTGGCCATCCATCCCATTCCCCGCCCCGACACCCATTCTCTGCCACCTAAACCATGGTCTCTGCCCCATCGTCATGTCTTTGCCCCACGACTACCTTCCATGCCCCATCGTCCCTTCTCTGTCCTCTCGTGTATTTTTCAGCCACACCATCGCATTCTCTGGCCATCCATCCCATTCCCCGCCCCGACACCCATTCTCTGCCACCTAAACCATGGTCTCTGCCACATCGTCATGTCTATGCCCCACGACCACCTTCCATGCCACATCGTCCCTTCTCTGTCCTCTCGTGTATTTTTCAGCCACATCATCGCATTCTCTGGCCATCCATCCCATTCCCCGCCCCATCACCTATTCTCTGCCCCCACACCATGGTCTCTGCCCCGTCATCACGTCTCTGCCCCATCCCTACCTTCCATGCCCCATCGTCCCTTCTATGGCCCTCGTGTATTTTTCTGCCACACCATCGCATTCTCTGGCCATCCATCCCATTCCCCGCCCCATCACCCATTCTCTGCCCCCACACCATGGTCTCTGCCCCGTCATCACGTCTCTGCCCCATCCCTACCTTCCATGCCCCATCGTCCCTGCTATGGCCCTCGTGTATTTTTCTGCCCCACCATCGCATTCTCTGGCCATCCATCCCATTCCCCGCCCCATCACCCATTCTCTGCACCCACACCATGGTCTCTGCCCCGTCATCACGTCTCTGCCCCATCCCTACCTTCCATGCCCCATCGTCCCTTCTCTGGCCCTCGTGTATTTTTCTTCCCCATCATCGCATTCTCTGGCCATCCATCCCATTCCCCGCCCCATCACCCATTCACAGCCCCCCCCATCATTTTCTCTGCCCCATTATTTTCTCTGCCCCATCACCCTAAACTCTGCTCCTCCGGTTTTATTTTTTTATTGTGCATGCAGGATGCTACATGGCCTGCGCGAGGCGTTTGATCAACCTTCAGAATGGAACATCATAAAAATGCACCTCATCAGTCACTACATGGACTGCATTGAGCGCGCCGGTCTACCAGAGCACTACTGCGCGCAGCTGTACGAACACCTCCACATAGAGTTCATCAAGAACCCGTACCGTGCTTCGAACAAGCGGAATGTGAATGCCCAGGTCGTGCAGAGCGAGGAGATGAGGCTGCGAATCGCATCCTTGGCCCCGTCGATGGAGCGGAAAAGGAAGTACGACACGGCAATGGTCAGGGCCCAACGCACAGGGGAGCGCATTCTCTCCCGCAGGAGTTGGTGCTTGCACGTGCCCGATACACCCGAATCCCCTCCATATGTCTTTCCATTCGCACCACAGGCTTCAAGGGATGTACCCCTACAGAATGCCATTGGGCCAGATCTTGCACACTTAAGGGGCGCACTCAATGCCGCCCCTGGGTGTGCAGGACGCGGCTGCGAGTTCAAACACATCAATGTGAGTAACGTTGCACCCCAATAGCTTTGCTATTTCATTTCACCACGAGCCGTCGTTGTGCTATGACTGCTGCCTATTTTTTTTTTTTTTTACCGTATAGTGTGGTAGCATCCGAATCCCTAACACCAAAACATCCCGTACCCCGAAATGGCAGGTTCATTGGGAGCTTGCAATGCCTGCTGCTGTCGGCGCACCATACAGTCGACTGCCTCACCGGGTGCGGGCACTTCCATCCCACCATGGGAGGCCGTGGTATTCGGATGTCGCAGTGGAGGGTACTGGAGCTCGGGGAAGAGAGGAGTGGTACGCCAAGGTGCTGCTACTGTTCCACGTCCGCTTGGATGGCAGGGATAAAGGATTCGCCTTTATCAAATATTACCAGGCAGAGAACGCACTAGACAGAGCCACAAAATGTACTTCACTGAGATGGGCACCCGAGCGAGATCGGTATCGCGTCGTCCAAATGGAGAGCATTAAGCGAGCTGTGCATTTGATCCAACCGAACGCCAATGATGATAGGTGGCTTCTGAATAGGTTTGCATGGTAATCAATGCCCTGCATGCATGGTATGTGACCGAAAGTCTGTTTAGTTGGCAGATGTACTTGCATACGCTATGGTGCACAGCATAGATTGAAACCCCCTATGGCAAGTTCCTTGGTTGAGCCATATGGTCGTGTGAAGAAACGACAACATATTCCAAACTGGCCTATCCTTGCACAGTTACAGCCCTTCGGACACACTCACTAACGTCACGTGCTGCATAGTTGTGCGAATGAGGTCAAACCAGTTCCTATGTCAATGTAATGGATTAAAATATATGAACGTTTGAATATATGGTGTATAAAAGAACAACCAGATGTTGAAACGGTGACATGTGGCGTACATGCTTAACCTTGCACAGTTGCAGGCCATGGAACATGATGTAGTATGGAACTGTGTGAAGAAACAGAGGAAAAAAAGGCATCCAGACGTTGACGAGCTGACATGTTGCGTAGGCGCCTATCCTTGCACAGATTCTGGCCAGCAAACGCACAAACATGCGCCACGTGCTGCGTATTTGTGCGAACGAGGTCAAACGAGTTCCTCTGGCCCTAAAATAGGATATATTAGAGAAATGTGGAAAGAAATAGTGATGAAAAGGGCATCCATACGTTGGTGAGCTGACATGTTGCGCATGCGCCTATCCTTGCACAGATTCAGGCCAGCAAACGAACAAACATGCGCCACGTGCCGTGTAGTTGTGCGAACGAGGTCAAACCAGTTCCTTTGGATAGGGAATAGGATGTAGTAGGGAACAGTGTGAAGAAATAGTGCTAAAATATGCATCCTGACGTTTGCAGGCTGACATGTTGCGCACATGCCTATCTTTGCACAGATTCAGACCAGCAAGCGCACAAACAAACGTCACGTGTTGCGTAGTTGTGCGAATTAACTTAAACAACTTCCTATGGCAAGGTGATTGATCGAAATACCTGAAGGTATGAAGAAATGGTGCTAAACAAGACAGCCAGATGATGAAACGGTTACATGTTGCGTATTGGCCTATCCAAGCGCAGTTTCAGGCCATCAATCGCACACACAAGCGTCACGTGCTGCGTAGTTGTGCGAATCAATTCAAACCAGTTCCTATGGCAAGGTATTCGCCCTAAATACCTTATTTTGTGAAGAAATGGGTCTAAAAAGTCAAGCATATGATGAAACGGTTACATGTTGCGTACTGGCCTATATTTGCGCAGTTTCAGGCCATGAAACGCACAAACAAGCGTCACGTGCTGCGTAGTTGTGCGAATTAATTCAAACTGTTGAGATAGAGGCGAGGAATGATGCACTTTGGAATGAATGAAGTACAAGTACCAACCCTAATTGGGTTGTACCCCCTATGGGCTACCCCACTACAGCCTACATATATGCATCAGCAACATATAATCATCCGACACACCCCCATAGGCAAAGTGGGGAAGAGCAATGGGTGACAAGACCAGTCCAGTCAACCAAAGCAAAGCAAAGCAAGCTCAGGGTGGATCTCAAGGATACCACACAAATTCCGAGCACAAGGTCAAGGCCACAAGGCCAGTGCACATGCAGCAGAGCATATATATGTAACAGTGCTCAACAAGCAATAGCAAGGATATATATATGCAGCAGTACAAGCAAGGTCAAGAGGTAAGCAAGTGAGGCCCAGTGGGCACAACGCCTCGCAGATTGCAAAAGCGCTGATGGTCACGAGACGGAAGTGCCTTGGTGAACACATCAGCAGTGTTGGCCTCAGTGGCCACGAAACGCAGAAGAAGCTGACCACGCTGCTGCAGCTCTCGAGCAAGGAAGTAGCGCAGAGCAATGTGCTTCGTCCTGTGCTCCAGTCTGTGCTCCTGACACAAGGCAATGGTTGCCTTGTTGTCGACGTACAGCACTGGAGGAGAACGAGGCCGCTCTCCAAGGTCAGTCAGCAGGTAGGTGAGCCAGCGAAGCTCCTGGGCAGCCATGCCAGTGGCGTAGATCTCAGCCTCACAGCTGGAGCTGAGAACAGAAGAAGAGCGAGTAGAGCGCCAAGAGACAGAGCCAGAGCCAAGACTGAAGGTGTAACCCTGAGACGATCGCTGAGTAGCCTGGTCGTCAGCCCAAGAAGCGTCTGAGTGCCCAGTGAGCACAGGCCGCTCTCGGCCAGTGGCGAGCCAGAACAGGACCCCCAGAAGGGTCCGCCAGGGAGACTGCCACTGGCCGACTAAGCGGCGTGAGTGTGGTGCGGTCCCGAAAGAAGGAGCGAGACGCTCCTGAGTCAAGAGTGAAGGTGAGAGAGGGCGGAGCCGACGCAGTACCTGAGAGAGCAGACTCACCAGCACCTGAGGACACAGACTCACTGGCACCTAGAGCGACAGCCTCACCAACACCTGGAGCAGCAGCCTCAACAGCACCTAGAGCCGCAGTACCAATGCCCGGGTCGGGCGGGAAACACCGGTAACAGTCACCCTCCTCACTAATAGTCACAGCATACATGGCACGAAGAATAGCATCAAAGTCAAGATCAAAGATAGCTACTCTTGCCCTAGACAGCTGGTCCCAGCGAGGGATCTCAGAGGCGTAAGGAAACTGGCGGCGCCAAGCGTCAGTCAGGCGGCCGAAGCAGCGCTGGGTGGAGTGTGGACCACCACACGGCTCACCCGCACGGTCGCCAGTGCGCAGGACGTAGGTGCACGGACCAGTACCCCCACCCCTCTCATGTGCAGCGTACCACCCACGGAGCTGCTGCGGGGAGAGGGTCTCCTGACCACGTTGCTGCTGCTGATGCTGGCGCTGACTACCACCGGAGCCACTCCCCCGCGACGAGCCACGACCTCCGCCGTCGCCTCCTCCGCCGCCGCCGCCACCACATCCGCTGCCACCGCCACTCCCACCGTCGCCGCCGCCACCGCCGCCTCCGCCTCCACTCCCACCACCACCGCCGCTGCCGCCCCCGCCTACACAGCCGCCGCTGACACCTCCACTCCCGCCACCACTCCCGCTACCACCCTCACCTCCTCCGCTGCCTCCACCGCCGCCTCCACCGCCCCCGCCGCCTCCACCACCGCCCCTGCCCCCTTTGCCCCTGCCAGGACGACGTCTCCCCCTGGGGGCAGACGCCGCACCGACCGACTCAAAACCAACTAGGTCGGCCATAGCAGCAGAGGCGACAGAGGGCAGGAGGGGGGAGGGGGGAGGGGGAACACCCCTCAAAGATGGGGGTGCGCGGGTCACCACGAGAGGCCCCTACAGCGAGAATGCTCTTCTCGGCTGCTAGGAGGGACTTCTCGAGGAGGTCAACAGTGAGAGTGGTGGGGCAGACTGAGAGGAAGTCGTCCCTGACTCCGCGAAGGGAGTCAGGGAGGCGGGTGACAATGTAGTAGAGAGTGAAGTACATGGGGGGGGGGGGTTCTTGGCGCAGAACTCAGCAAGAAGCGCAGCGCGGAAGCGAGCGTCACTAGTGCGCAGGTGGGTAATGAGGTCGGCGACTGTGGCAAAATAAGCAAGGTCGGGAAAGAGGTACGGTAGCATGAGGCGGCTCAGTGCAGCAGTGGCAGGGGAGGAGTAGCGTGCAATAACGGCGTCGTACAAGTAGCAGTGGCACACTCGGCTGCTGGGGCGGCTCGGCTGCTGGGGCGGCTCGGCTGCTGGGGCGGCTCAGCTGCTGGGCCGGGAGATGCAGTGGCGGGGCCGTAAGGGGCAGTGGCGGGGCCGGTAGGTGAAGCGGAGGGGCCGTCAGGTACAGCAGCGGGGCCGGCAGGTGTAGCAGCGGGGCCGGTAGGTGCAGTGGCGGGGCCGTCAGAGGGGACGGCGGGGCCGTCAGGTGCAGCGGCGGGGCCGTCTGAAGCAGCGGCGGGGCCGTCAAAGGGGACGGCGGGGCCGTCAGGTGCAGCGGCGGGGCCGTCTGAAGCAGCGGCGGGGCCGGCAGAGGGGACAGCGGGCCCGTCGGGTGCAGCGGCGGGGCCGGCAGAGGGGACGGCGGGGCCGTCGGGTGCAGCGGCGGGGGCGGTAGAGGGGACGGCGGGGCCGTCGCAGGCGATCGCGGGGCCGTCAAAGACGGCGCCGGCGTCGCGAGGGTCAGAGGGGGCGGCGCGCGACTGGAGGGCGGCACGCGCGACGCGGCGCGGCCATCTAGGGCGGCGCGACGAGGCCGCGTAGGTGGCGCGCCAAAAAATCGAGGGCGGCTCGACGAGATCGGGCCGCCAAAGGAAAAAAAAAGGCCGAGCGCGACTCGGGCTAGGGCAGAGCGCGCTCCGGGCAGGACTGAATAGTAGGTGGGCCCTAGGAACAGTTCCCACTAGGGAACCTGCTCTGATACCATGTTGATATAGAGGCGAGGAATGATGCACTATGGAATGAAAGAAACACAACTTCCAACCCTAATTGGGTTGTACCCCCTATGGGCTACCCCACTACAGCCTATATATATGCATCAGCAATATATAATCATCTGACACAAACCAGTTCCTATGGCAAGGTAATTGATTGAGATACCTGAATGTGTGAAGAAATGGTTCTAAAGATACAATCATACGATGAAACAGTGACATGTTGCGTACTGGCCTATCCTTGCACAGTTACAGGCCATGAAACGCACAAACAAGCGTCACGTGATGCTTAGTTGTGCGAATGAGTTCAAACTAGGTCCTATGGCTTGGTAATTGATTGAATTACCTGATTGTGTGAATAAATGGCTCTAAAAAAAACAACCAGACGATGAAACAGTAACATGTTGCGTACTGGCCTATCCTTGCACAGTTTCTAGCCATCGAAAGCACGAACAAGCGTCACATGCTGCGTAGTTGTGCGAATGAGTTCAAACAAGTTCCTATGGCTAGGTAATTGATTAAACTACCCGAATGCTTGAAGAAATGGTGCTAAAAAATACAACCAGACGATGAAACGGTGACATGCTGCGTACTAGCCTATCCTTGTACAATTTCAAGCCATCGAACGCACGAACAAGCGTCACGTTCTGCGCAATTGTGCGAATGAGTTCAAACAAGTTCCTATATCTAGGTAATTGATCGAACCACCTAAATGTTTGAAAGGATGGTGCTTAAAAAACAACCAAACGATGAAACAGTGACATGTTGCGTATAGTCATATCCTTGCACATTTCCAGGCCATCGAGCGCACAAACAAGCGTCACGTGCTGCGTAGATGTGGGAATGAACTCAGTGGTAAAGCCTGTTAGACCGACTCGCCAATAAGTAGGGTATTGTAGCTGAAAAAAAGACAAACACTGTAAACACATCCAATATCGTACCACACTAGTAACATAAAAAGCATAGCATATTACAACAATGCATAAAAAACTAAACATGTGTAGAATGTTCGTACTGGAAACTAACTGACCGTTAACTTAGAAATACATGACTTGTTTGCTTAACCACAACCAAAATGTGGTCCATTCGTTCGATAATTCGTAATAATGAAATGTGTTAAACGATGCCGATAAAACAAATGGTAAGCGTTATGACGTAACAAGAAGATCAAAAGCGGCTTTTCAAAATGATGATGTTTTCAAACCTACGAAAAATGTGGTCCATATACAGCCATAAACTAAAGCTCATTTCGAGTGTTCAAGTATACAACAGTATGATTTAGGACTTTCGTAGGTATAAACGAAATATTACCAACGAGGCGCTGACGTGGTCGATAGAGTGGTGGAAATAGGTTCGAGTAGAGGTGCGCGTTGTCTGCCGTAAACCACCGTTTGCCCCAGCTCCCCAGCCCTCGAGCCACTGAGGCGCACGTCAGAGTGCGTCCGCCCAGTAAACTGGCCCCCTTGGTCAATTTCCGCCAGAAACAACCCCCCCCCAACTTCCCCCTTCCTCCCGCTTACCGAGGTCCCACGAAACTGCGGATTCCACCCGCTTCATGCCATTCGCGCCGGTAAACTGCCAACCCTAGACCAACACCCCACCCCATCTCGTAAATGGCCAATTACGAGGCCGGTTTTGAACAAAAAAAAATGCTAAGTCCCCGTCGCTCCGTTTTGGGCGGATTGCAATTTTTCTGATGTAAGCTGAAGCTGTGAGACCAATCAGATTTTGTCATCGGCCAAATTCCCCACCCATGCGACGCTTTGCGATTCATGCGACACTGTGCGACGCGTTCTCATTGCCCCAGGCAAGCGAGGCTCCGTCAACTGTGACCATCGTTCTGGAGAAGCATCAATCACGTTTAGTCTCATGGGGTAGAAAAGTGCTGGACAGTTCATTCTGATCGCATACGCTCCTGGCATCCCACCGTGGATGCGTCCTCTGAACACGTTGGATGTTGCCATGGGGAAGCCAAGTCCAATGAAGATGTGACTGGAAAGTGCGATCCAACCGTCCGTTTCCGCAAAAGACTAATCGGGTGTGAAATAATACTTGACGGTCTGCCGATGTAACCTAGATCGTCGCGATCGAGAGGACCCAGGTTGTTGTTCAGTGACCACCTTTGCTGTTGTCATGGCTGAAACACTATCTTCGGTGAAATCTGGTCTTGCCTGATAGAAATCTAGCCTTCGGCTGAAATCAGGATGGTTGGTTTCCCAATCCCAGACATCCTGACTTCACCCAAAGAAGGTGTTGGCGCAGGTGTTGGTGAAGCTGTTGGCGAAGGTGTTGTTCAAGTAAACTTCGACAGGTTGCTTTGGGCGAAGGCAAAACGGAGTGGCGAGGAACTGCAGCGCTCGCCACACAACATTCCTAGTCCTCGTTTGTGAGTCAAAGTGAAAAGAGTTGTGACAGCTTGACACTACTGTATCAAAACCTAAATTGTGCCGCAGCAAAAACGCTCTACAAAAAACTTGATGGGCTTGCTCCTTTTCTTTGCCCCTCCCCCACACCTTCGCCCTATGACTTCCAGCCCTGACTTCCCTTTCTCCCAAGCTATTTGTTTCATTTGCCTATGATCGTCACTCCCACTTAGTTCCTCGTCGCTGCGGCACACCAGTCGCATTTCAAGATCGCAGTTTCAGAGCCACTTTTCAGGGTCGCATTTCAAGGCCGCCTTTTCTGGCCCTGGTAGGAACAAGGTGCAGTAGAAGCAGCGCATTCGGGGGATGAAGCAGAAATCACCTTTCTTTTTGCCCCAGGGCATCCGCAAAGAACAGATGAGAGAGGATGAACGGCTGGACCCTTTGCGGCGATTTGCGCGGCGAGGCGCAGCGCAGAAAGCGCAGATGCTGTGCTGAGAAGGGCGCAACGGAGAACTGGGAAATCGCAGAGGCGGAGGTTGGGGAAACGAGGGAGTTCGGTGGAGGCGGAATGCATGCGCGGAGGCGGCAGGTCGACGTGGCGATGCGCGCGAGCGGCATGATGGGCGGAGGAACAGGGAGCGCGGAGGAGCTGTCGTTAGAGCAGCTGATGGGCGTGAGCCGATGGTGCTTGCTGCGCGCCATGAAGGTTGGCGTGACGACGAGACTGGCGGAGAGGCTTGGGCAGATGGAGGAGAGGAAGAGAGAGGAAGAGAGGGAGAAAGTGAGAGAGGAAGAGAGGAGGGTGAGAGACGAAGAAAGGGAGAAAGTGAGAGAAGAAAAGAGGAGGGTGAGAGACGAGAGGAAGAGAGAGGACGAGTGTGAGAGGTTGAGGGAGGAAGAGAGGAAGAGAGGAAGAGAGTGAGAGATTACGAGAGGAGGAGACAGGTAGTACGAATCAGGATGAGAGAGGAAGAGAGGAAGGGGGTGAGGAAGGAAGAGAGGAACAGAATGAGAGAATAAGGAAGGAGACTGGGAGAGGAAGAGGCGAATGCGAGAGAGAGGGCGACAGGAAAGAAAGGCTAGAAATGAGGACGAAGAGGAGTGAAGAGGTATTGAAATCAGCGTAGAGTGAGGCGGAGAGGGCGGTGGTGGGGTTGGAGGCGAGCATTGATCAGAAGGTGAACAAGATACTGCTGCAAGCACTGATGGCTCGCCGCTCCGTGGAGGCGGGGACGCCGTTTCTAGCGGCTGATGCAGGGCGCAAGCGAGGTCGCACAGGGCTCATGACTCTGCTGCTGCACACCGCATAAGGGAGGTGCGTGCTGTCGGGCTTACCATCCCATCCCATGCCACACATCCGATTGCTCCCATCCCGTTCCCCCATCCCGTTCCCCCATCCCGTTCCCCCCATCCATTCTCCCAGTCGGTCCCCCATCACTCCCCCATCACTCCCCCAACACTCCCCCATTGCTCCCCCATCGCCCCCCTATCGCTCCCACATTGTTGCCCCCATTTCTCATAATGCGGCAGCACCTGCTAGCCCATGCAATCTCCCCCTTCCATAACTACCGCACTCGTCTGCCCCTTTCCACTTCTTCGCCTCTCCCCTCATGTGCGTTTCTGGCAGCACCTGGCGACGGTTTCAGTCAGACCATACAGAGGTGGCGATAGGGGCGGTCCCTCTCATCACCTCCCAGTATTCCCATTATTCCCATTAGCCCTTCCAATCGTTACCGATTTTCAACCCCTACGACTCTTGTGTTTTCCCTGGCAGCACCTGCCATGCAGAGGCCGCGAGAGGGGCAGACATGCAGCTTCTGTCATCGCTCCCCTTCGCTACCAGTTCTCAGCGCTCGCAGGGGTACGGCAAATGATGCAGATGATGCGGCAAAGCCAGGGGCAGGCGCAGGGAAGCAGGCGGAAGCTGCGCGGGTTCAGCAAGGGAGATTGCTTTCGCGGCGGAGCAGGTGCGAAGGGCGCAGAAGGAGCGGGGTGCGGCGATGAGGGGTGACGGCGGTGACGCTGGCGGAACAGGGCAGGGGCGGAGAGGAGGGGAGGGCGCGGAATGTATTCAGGGGGGATCGGGGGGGGACAGGGGGGTGGGTGGGGGAGGAGCAGGGTAGCGAGGGCAGAGTAGAGAGGCAGGCAGGCAGCGCTGGACAGTCGACAGGGTGCACGCTGTCGAGGCCAACGCAGCTGCAGGGTGGTCGCAGCCTGAGGTGAGAAGCAGCTGCAGCCGCGGTGGTCACAGCAACGGGTGCCTTAGTTGGTACTTTACGTTTTTTTGGGTCACGTAAACGTAAACTTACGCTTGAGTTTACCTTTACGTTTTCTTACGCGTAATTTTACGTAAAGTCGCACGGGCAGGGCAAAAAAAAGTTTTTTTGCCCGCGAAACGAAAAAATCTGACTGATATGAGGTGGGAGAGGCTGCTACATGTTTGTGTAGATTTGGGGCATCTGTAAGTTGATGTAATATTGTGCTAACATGCTTGGGCGTAGAAGAACCAAGCTAGTGATAGATTAGGCGCTTCCCATGCAGCCACTTAGTCCGATGATTTCTTATATTTCCGGGCAGTTAGAACTGTTTCTAGCTGACCGTAAACGTAAAGCCATTTTTAGCCCACGTAAGTAAACGTAAGTTTACTACGTAAAGTCACGTAAACGTAAACCACCGTAAACGTACAATACCAACTAAGACGGGTGCAACACGGGCAGGGTAAGGGGGGACGTGAGCGGTGGTAGGGTGTGTTATCGGGAGTGGGCGGCGAAGAGGCATGGGCGAAAGTGGCGGAGGTGGATTCGCAGCTTCCGCAGTCGCTGCTGGGAAAGGCGGCGCCTGCGCCCCTGTCCCCATCCCCATCCGCTCCCTCACGCCCATCTCACTCCGTCAGCACAAGCCATGGTATGCCATCGCTGCCCCTCTCCTCCCCAGCCCCCGCCTACCCCAGCTTCGTACCCGCCAGCCACACCATGCCGGTAGGGCCTTCCGCACCCCGGGGCCACGCCATTCCCCCCTTCATCCCCACTCCCCCGGCTGCCCCCATGCCCGCTCCCTGTGCGGCCACTGCTCCCAACGCCTCTCCACACACGGCGCGTTACAAGGCCGGCCAGTGGCAGCAACAGTCTCAGGTGCGGTGAAGAGAATATGCTTGTCAATACCACAGCAGCCGCAGCAGCCGCGGCGGGTGCTTGTGGAGGCAAGCATACCACTCTCCCACCACCGGCCCTCCTTCTCTTTCCCCTTCCCCGTCGCCCGTCAAACCCCTTCCCCCACCCTTCCCCCACCACCACCCCCCTGGTCCCTCCTGCGCGTTCCCCATCTCCCCGCCGCCACGCCTCTCCCAGCCGACATGCCCCTCCCCGCCGATTCCTCCTCAGAAAGGATCCATTCTGTCCCACCCCTGTTGGTTCTACTGCCGCTCGTTGCAAACCCCACCTCACCTACTTGCATTGATGTAAAGGTGTGATGGAGTGTCAATATCTAGTTCACAATAAGTTAACTGTTGTTTCTATAAGTCCCATCTCCCTTTGCCTTTCTACTTTTCTTTTTCTCTCCCCTCCTTTCTCTTGCACAACAATACCCTTTACAGAAACTGTTTTTCTTCTACCACCGTTGTTTCCCGGGACCTTCCGGCCGCTCTGCTCACTTCATTGTACTCCAGCCCACTCTCCATCCTGGTCATCTTCGACCTGCTAGAGAAGGAGCGCCTCAAGGCCGGGCTGCGGCGTTCTCAGCGCCATGGCTGTAGCCTCCTCCACTCGCTCCTCCATCCTGCGGCAACTTGCCGGAGCGAAGGGGAAGGCGAGGGGGCATGGGAGACGGCGGCGGTGGCGGCGGCACCGCGGTGGCTGATGGACGAGCTGGCAGTGCAGGGCGTGGACAGCGGAGAGAGAGGGGAGGGAGGGAAGGGGAGTGGGGGAGGAGATGAGGGGGAGGAGATGAGGGGGAGGGAGAAGGGGAGAGCGCAAGGGAGAAGGTGCGCAGGAGCGGGGCGTGCTAGTGAGTGGGCTGGAGAGGCAGTATATCTCCCTCGTCTCGCCATTCAACTGCTCGCCTCCATACCTCTCTGAGAGTCGCTCAGCGCCGAGAGCCTACGTCGTTTGGCCTCTGCCTCACTTCTAATTCATACGCATGTCATTTCATCGAGTGAAGCTCACAGCACAGCTAGTACTGCGCATTTCAGATCGTGACGTGGCATTCGGATCTGATTGCGGAGCTCAGATTCAAGCGTCTACGCCTATGCGTCATAGCCTCACAAGGTTTCAATATGCGAAACCCTAGAAATAGGCCTGATGTAAGGCCGGTTCTGTCATTCCATTCTATCCGGCTTGCATATCGGAGATTCTCACTTTCCTCCTTTCGCCGATGCTTTTGCGTCAGTTGATGCTGCCTACCCTCTGTTTATCTCATCCGCGTATCATCACACATCACCATCTGGCAGTCACGATTGCCACATCAGCAGCAGTGTGTGTACAGCGTGCGCGCCAAGGCGCACCACTTCGACGTCGCGTGCGTGTACCTGCCATTCTGCTGTTCCAGCGCCGTCACCTCAGGCGTGGCGGCACCAAGGAAGGTTACGGTGTCGTCGGTGCCATCACTGTAGCCTGCTCCCCGCCCCCACTGCCCTCATCTCACCTTCCTTCTCCTTCCGTCCCACCGTCCTTGCCCTTCGTCCCCGCTTCTCCCCCCTCTCGCTTCCCCGTGTCGCTCATCCTGTTCCTTGCTCTCCTTCCTTGTCGCCGTCCGCCCAAGTGAGCCCCGCAGCATCCGTGCTCGCCGTCTGCTCCTTTGTGGGACCACTTCACCTGGGTGCCGCAAGCGACGGGGCCAGACAGGCAGTGGGTGCAGTGGAGCAGCAGCGCGAAGGAGGGGCAGGCAGAGGGAGGAGTGAGAGGCAGCGAGCGTGGGATGGAGTAGCAGGGGGGGAGGGGCGCGGGCTGGTGAGAAAGGGGAGGAAGGAAGGGGGAGTCAAGAGCTGCAGGTGGGGACGCGTATACGGGCGTCCGTGGTGGCGCAGATGGTTGGGGGGGGGTGTGTCCAGCACGGTGCCCGCCCTCTCCTGCTCCTTGGGAATGTTTCACTCCCTCCCCTCTCATCCTCATGGGCGCGATCATGCTCACACTCACCTCCTCCTCCCTGCGCTTCCCCCAGCGCCTGCAGCATGGCAGCATGGCAATGGCGTTGGCAGTGGCATGGTGGGCAGCAGCGTGGAGTGCAGTCACAGCATCAGCGTGGTGATGGGACGGCGTGGCCTTAACAGCAGCAGCAGCAGCGGCGCGGTGCTGCAGAGATAGGGCAGCGTGGCACTTAACGACAGGGCAGCAAGGCGGAATGGGGCAGGCCGGCATGGGGGCTTTCAGGAAGCTTATTTGTTTAAAACACTCATGGCTTACCCTATCCTACCCTCGTGCCTTCTACCTATCAGCACCTCACTCGTGCATTTCCATCATGCCGTGCCCATCACTTCATCCCATGGCACACGTACATCAACCGATCTTCTTATACATCCATCTCTGACCCTTCCGACCCCTCCCTTCCCCTGCCACCCCCCTTTCTCCCCTCAGCAGCTCCTAGCAGTGGCATAGCCATGCGCCAAACATCAGCCTCCATGGTATGGCTTCCCTCAGTTGCCCTCTCCACCAGCCTCACCTCCCTCCACGCCATGCCACCTGATTGAGGGCATGGCGCTGCCACAAGCAGCTTCTAGCACAACAGCAATGGCCACGGAGATGGTAAATAGGAATCCAAATCGGTAGGTCCACAGCTTATGGCGATCCATGATACATGAACTGCCGTGCTTGTGCGACCTATCAGAAGTGATGCCACAGATGTGCACGCGCATCTCCTTCCAAAGCTCATCCCATGGTGGGTACCCTACTTCTCTGTTCTTTCCAATTTGCTTCTGCTTTTGCGAATCATCAGTGCGGTGCCCTCTCATGCCTGCACTCCGCTCATTTCCTATATTATGTTTTGAGCTTAAAACCCGGGGTCAGCATGGTATGGGAAGGTGATGCTCGGGGCATGTGCTGGAAATGCTGGAAGTCTGAAGGTTGGACTGGTTGTTCTCTGCACATCCCGTTCACCTCCTTCCTGCCAGTTGTCTTGACTCCCCCCCCCCCCTCTCTGCAACATTTCCAAGATGTGTTTGCAGCCCCTGTCACCCTGCATCTCTTATTGCCCAATCCCATCTATCCTTGCATCACCTCCTTCCTTGTGGCAGCATGATGCATCAATAGGCCTGCTGTGGCCTATGTCTTATCCTGGTATGATCCAGGGGCATACGTTATTGCATACCTCACTTAATACTAAGCATCCTACTACTCTGCCATTCCCAGATCGCTTCTGTTTTTGCATATCGCCAGTGCTCTGCACTGCCATACCTGCCCTTCACTTGTGCTCCCATCCCAGAAAAATCATCTTGAGTTCTGAGGGACACAATTAGGTTGCCATGTAGATGACTGTGTGGGTGAAGTGTGGGGCTGGAATTTGGGGGTGTACTTGCACAACCTATGGTATGCGTTGTGCTATAATAATTTTGCACAATTCACAACCAGCCATTCCAGATATAATGTTCTTTCATTGATGTGGTAGTAATCGCCAGAGGGGTTCTAAATGATGCTACAAGTCACATATTCCCTTACTATGCTAGGTTGTATACATGAAAAGCCTTGCCAAGGCAAGGCTTGCATGCTCATGTACATCC